GTGAAAAGGTGGAGGCTTAACCGACTGGGCCACTCAGGTGCCCCCAAAATGGTGTCTTTAATTTTGAGGGTATTCTGGGTATATATATAATTGTATATAATATATATAATTATATATAAATATAATATAATATATATATTATATTTTATATATATTTATATATATTTATTTTATATATATTATATATATAATATAACATAAATCTTTTTTTTAATTTATTTTATTTTATTTTTGAGAGAGATAGAGACAGTGAGAGCTGGGGGGACGGGGGGATGGTCAGAGAGAGGCAGACACAGAATCTGAAGCAGGCTTCAGGCTCTGAGCTGTCACCACAGAGCCCGACATGGGGCTCAAACCCACGAATGGTGAGATCATGACCTGAGCCAAAGTTGGACGCTTAACCAACTGAGCCACCCAGGCGCCCCATAACATAAATCTTTTAAAAAAATAACAGAAGTAATCATAAATTACTTGTCATTTAGTAACCCTATTTTTTTAATTTAGTCTCAAAAGTATTAAATAACAAACTTTGAATTATTGATCATTAATCCTGAAACTTGGAGTAAAACTTGAGTAAAGAATGAATCCTACAACTTAGCTTTTCAGATTTATGATGTAGATAGAAAGCTAGCATTTGCCAGTAATTACAAACCTATTGGTGAAAACCCTGAAAATCTGATTAATGACATATTACTCCTGCTATTTTTTTAAGAAAACCAAGCCTAAGAATATATAAATATATATTGAAATTTTAAGCAAATAGAGAACTTAGACCTCCCAAACATGAAGCAGTAATCTTTCTATTAGATAATTCTTTTTCAAGTTAAGCTTTGGTAGATACAGGTGGCTTGAGACATAGAACAGTTTAATAGCATGGGGCCTTCTGATTCCTGAACTTGAGCTACCATTTCTTCCCAGCACCTTCCCAACAGCTGGGAACAAGGACAGCAGTGTATAAAGAAAAGGCGTTGATGTAACTCTTGGAAAACTAATTTCAGCATCAGATTTCTGGGCAATTGGAGTCCAAGAAAAAATTTATCAAGACCACATAATACTCAGTCCTAACAGTTCAACTATGAATGGGTTGTTCAGACATTTAAACCTAGACTCTATTCCATTTCAGAGAAAGGAAGAAGTGTTTCTATTGCTTGTGGAGAGTGAAGTAGGTAAGTCTAAAGAATTGCTTAGAAACATTGTAAGTGGAGAAGCAGATAGTAAGTAGTTGGGGCTTTGCAGCCACTCACCACTGCTATCATTGCCCATAAGCAGCCATGAAAAATATGTAACAACATGAGTGTTACTTTGTTAGAGTAAAACAATTTGTTACACATGTAACACAATGTCACACATGTCACTTCCAGGTATCACAAAGTATTCTTTTTAAAAAATCTTACATTTTTAAAACTTATGAGTGTAGCTCAAATACAATGGTATACTAGTTTCAGTACAACTTAGTGGTGTGACAAGTGTACACATTTGTTACTTGTACCACCAGCATAGCTGTATCTATCCCATTACATTGCTATTACAGTATCATTGACTCTATTCCTTGTGCTGTTGTGATTTAAAAAAAAATTAATTCAAAAATTCTCATTCTCAGCTTATAAACTAAATAAAAATAGGTGGTCACTCATTTAAATCTCCTGAATTAGCCATGCAGATTGTGAAAAAGGGTAAAAGATTTTGGTGACTGAACTTCTGAGAGTCTAAAACTAGAGCTTGCCAAATCTAGTTGCTTATCTGCATCCTTTGGTGAATTATCTTTTAAAATTCTTATATTAAAAAATAGGTTATAAAGGTGGATAGTTTGAAATTCAAAAGTTAAAAAGATAAAAATGTTTCTTCCCATTCCTGCCTTCCAGGGGTAAGCAATGTTCACATTTCTTACGTTTCCTTCCAGAGATTATCAGGTCACATGACTGAATGTGTATACGGATTTGTATATATAATGATATGGGTGTGTTTATGTATTTATGTAAATATATAAATTATGAAGAGGAATTGCATATGTTTAACGAGACATAAATTAATGTAGTTTCACTTTCTCATAAAAAATTCGCTCTGTAATCTAGCCATTGTACTTGAAGGTATATATTTGAAGGAAATGAAATCCGGATCTCATAGAAATAACTACCTCCCATGTTCAGTGCAGGATATTTACAATAGCCAAGATGTGGAAACAACCTCTTTCTATTGATGCACGTGTGGCACACATGGGTGAAGCTTGAATGTATTCTAAGTGAAATAAGTCAGAGACAAATACTATATGCTCTCACTTAGATGTGACATCTAAATAACTCATAAAAAATGAACTCATAGACTGGTTTCCAGGAGGTGGGGAGAATGGGTGAAGGGTGAAGGTAGCAAAGGGTACACACTTGAGTTACAAAATGACTATGTTCTAGGGATCTAATGTACAGCATGGTTACAAAAGTTAACAATATGTATTATAGACTTTAAAGTTGCCATGGGAATAGACCTTAAAAGTTCTCACCACACACACACACACACACACACACACACACACACACACACACACATAAAGTAGCTATGTTAGGTGATGGATGTATTCATCTCATTGTGGTCATCAAATCACAATTTGTACATATGTCAAATCATACACCTTAAGCTTGCATAATGCTATATGTCAATTAGGTCTCAATAAAGCTGTAAAAAAAGAGTCTATCTTATGTTTAGATTACTTATTTTTCCTTGTGTATCTTTTGGACTTTTTTTTTTTTCTATTGACTTGTTGACCCTGAGTACTTTGTGTATGAGAGAAATTCACAATTCTGATATGTGCTGTAGTTTTGTTTGTTTTGTCTTTGGTCTTTTTCTTTGGCTTATAATCCTAGTTCTGAAGAAATTGATGTAATCAAAAATAGTAGTCCTTTCTTTAGACTTTTTATTTTCTGCCTTGAAACATGCTCAAGCCCAAAGGAGGAATAGGGTGAGGCAAGCACTTTATTTTTGTGTCCTAGGGGCCTGCCTTGTCTCACCCTAGTATCTGCCCTTATCTTCTCCAAACATTTAAAGAAAAAAATTTTTGCAAGAGTATCCTCTAATACCTTGATGGTTTAAGTTTTATAATTAACCTTTGTAACTTATTTTGATATAAAATGTATGGTATAGATCTAAATGTATTTTTTTTTTTGCTAGAAGGCTACCAACTTCTAACAATAATTATTTTACATATTATATCTTCCCTGCTCCTAATTTTGAATGCTATTTTATTGGAAAAAAAAAAAAGCTTTCTGTAGTATATTTTGTTTCTATATGTACCATTTTGTTCAATTCATTTATAAGTAACAGTGTTTTGATAGGGTTTCATAAAATGCTTCATATTGATTAAGGGATAGGTCCCACTGATTTCTTAATAGAGTGTTGCTAACTATGACTGTTCTACCATTTCAATTTTGGAATTATTGTTAAAAATTTTTGTACCAATTGGGGCGCCTGGGTGGCTTAGTCGGTTAAGCGTCTGACTTTCGCTTAGGTCATGATCTCGCAGTTTGTGGGTTCGAGCCCCGCGTAGGGCTCTGTGCTGACTGCCAGCTCAGAGCCTGGAGCCTGTTTCAGAGTCTGTATCTCCCTCTCTCTCTGACCCTCCCCTGCTCACTCTGTCTCTCTCTCTCTCTCTCTCTCTCCTGGAAATAAATAAAACATTAAAAAAAATTAAAAAAAATTTTTTTGTACCAATTTATTATGATTGTCTTAAAATTTTCTAAAAGTCCTGAGAACTGACATTTTCATGATGTTGAATCTTCCCACTGAAGACCATGGCATACCATCCCATAGATTTGCTATTTTTTTTCCTCAGTAGTACATTTAGTTGGTATAGATTTTGTGCATTTCCTGTCTAGTTAATCCAGGATATTTTACCATTTTTATTGCTATTCTAAATGGAATAGGGTATCAGTTGCTTCAACTTTTTCTTCAACATAAAACTGCATTGTCTCCAGAGCAATGTTAGTCATTGAGATAATTATAGACATCCTCTTCATCTTACCCAGATTTCAGCGGGATTACATTCATTTCAAGGAGGCATGATGTTGGCTTTTTTTTGCTGGGATTGATGGTTCTTTGTTAGGATAAATGAAAATAAATTAATGTAAAAGTGTTGATTTTTTAAATTTAAAAATGGAGGTTGCATTCTGTTACATACGTCTTCAGCATCTTAAATACCTTTTCAAAAAAATTTTTTAATGTTTTATTTATTTCTAGGAGAGAGAGAGAGAGACAGCGTGAGCAGGGGAGGGTCAGAGAGAGAGGGAGTCACGGACTGAAACAGGCTCCAGGCGCTGAGCTGGCAGTCAGCACACAGCCCGACGCGGGGCCCAAACCCACGCACGAACCGCGAGATCATGACCTAAGCGAAAGTCCGGAGGCTTAACCGACTAAGCCACCCAGGCGCCCCCTTAAATACCTTTTCAGATAGAAGATACTTGCATGATTTGTCTCATAAATATTAAAAATTTTTAATTAATAGATTTCTTACTCTTGAATCTTGCTGGCATTCCCAGGAATCTCACTTCATCAAAGTGTATTCTTTAAGTGTTAATTGTTGTTTGTTACATCTATTTGGAAATGAGGTGACTCTGTAGACTTTTCCCTGTTGTAATACTGTCCAGTGTTGAGACCGTGTTTTACTCAATTGTCATTTGGAATCTTTGCTTCTTCATTTAAGAGTATTGGAATTGAGGGGCACCTGGGTGGCTCAGTCGGTTAAGTGTCTGACTTAAGCTCACATTGTGATCTTACGGATCATGAGTTCCAACCCCAAGACAGGCTCTCTGCTGTCAGCACAGAGCTTGCTTCAGATCCTCTGTCCCCCCTCTCTCTGCCCCTCCTCTGCTGGCTCTCTCTCTCTCTCTCTCTCTCTCTCAAAAATAAATAAATGAACTGAAAGAGTATTGGAATTGAATGTTATTTGGATACTTGGTAAATCCTTGGAGAGTTTTTAAAAATGAAAATTTCTTATCTCCATGTCCATTTAATAGATCTTCAGGAATAAAAATGGTGTCACTTAGTCATTGAGCAGAGAACGGTTCTTGGCACATAGCATTGGATACTCAGTAAGTACTTGACTGATCTACTTTGAATATCAGTTTTAAAGAAAGCTCTCTGAAATGTTCTGATGATTAGATAGGCTTTTGATAACTTCTGGTCTAAACTATTACTCTGTTTAATCTGGCATAGTACCTAGTTGAGTGATGGTGTTTTGTTTACGTACCTTATATTCAAAAGCTTGCTTGGTAGATGTTAACTAGACATGCTGTGGGGATCTTCTTGCATTCTATACAAATATCAGTCATTACCATATACACCTGAAAGTAATATAACATGTCAACTGTACTTCAATAAAAGCTTGCTTGGGTAATTAAGAAATCAATACAAAGGTATATAGAGGTCTTGTTTATTAAAAAAAAAAACCACATTATAATGGCATCTGTTAGTCAAAACAACATATAGTAGCAGAGCAAATACTCATATCCTTTTAAAAGTGAACATGCTAGTTTTTAGCTGTTGTATGAGGTGTCTTAAATCATCTACCCAAAATAACGAGGTTTTCTAGCTTTTTTGAATATGAAAGAGATCTTCATATGTCTGTGCCCAGGTGATTCCATCTTTCTATCCTGAAATATAATAGAGAACTAAATGCATTAACTCAGGACCACGGAAGGGATCAGAAATGGGTATTGTGATATGCAGTTGTCTATCTACAGATAGTTAACTAAGCTAGCAAGTAATTGACCAATGGTATAGAGAGGTACATAATTATAACTAGGGAAGAAGAGATTTCAAATGATAGTGCTGAGGTTTTGTGACTGTTTCATATCTCAAGGCTCATGTCAGTGCTCAGTCAGTGCTGTTTTGATTACTGACTATTGAAAGAACATCTTTGGACCATGCACAGGGTCTGGCTTTGAGAATGTACAGGAGGAAATAACAGGTAAACTTCGCGTACTTGGTAAACATATAATGAATGATTTGGACTATATTGTACAGGGCCCTCGTATCTTGAGTGACAAGAGATGCCCTTTCAAAGTCAGAATAGATGATGTTGAGGCAAATTCCCAATCTCACTTTGAGTTCTGACATAGAAAAAAGTCTGGTAAGGGAATTTCATGGTCGAGAGACACAATAAAACAAATGTGCTTCAGAAGCATACAGAAGAGTGGAGGAGAGGGAAACAGAGCATAACGAGAGAGAGAACCCAGTAGGCTTTAAAAAAGTTAAACAAGTAGTTGGGAATATTTGTGAGAGATTAAAGACTAAAATCATAAAGAAGAATGCACAAAACATTCAGAAATACAAATGCTACAGAGTATTTTCAGGAAATGTCTCAAGCTACAAACGAGAAATACTGAATTAATATGAAAATAGAAAGAGTTGCAGACTCGTTTGGACACAGCTATATATTTTAATTGTTGCCATACTGTAGTTTCTGGTGTTGATATCAGCATTTAAGGATGGCCAGGAATTAGGAAGCAGAATTAGGAAGCAAGACAAACATGATTGACTTTTCTGATTGGTTTGTTTCTGTTTCCTTGTGTGTGTGTGTGTGTGTGTGTGTGTGTGTGTGTGTTGGGTTTTTTTTGGCAACAACTTTATTAAAAGAATCCCACACGAATACAATTCATCCCTTGAAAGTATGTGTCTTTTTTTTTTTTTTTTTTTTGGTATATTCAGAGTTGTGCGACCATCGCTATCATAACTTGAGAACATTTTCATCACCTCAGAAAGAAACGCTGTACTCTTTCTTAACTTTGTTTATTTTGAGAGACAGAGAGAGAGACAGAGAAACAGACAATCTCAAGCAGGCTCCATGCCAGTAGCACAGGGCCTGACAAGGGGTTAGATCCCAAGAACCATGACATCATGACATGAACTAAAATCAATTATCAGGTACCTAACCAGCTGAACCATTCAGGTGACCCAGAGACTATGTACTCTGAAGCTATCATTTCCTGATCTTTCCATTTCCCCCAGACCTAAGAAATACCTAAACTACTTTCTGTCTCTATTGATTTTCTTTTTCTGGCTATTTCATATAAATGGAATCTCATAAGGTGTAGCCTTTTGTGACAGGACACTTTCAGTTAATAGAATGTTTTCAAGGTTCATCTGTGTTGTGGCTTATATTAGCGTAATTCTTTTATATGGCCAAATATTCCACTGTATGGATATACCACATTTTATTTATTCATTCATCAGTTGGTGGACATTTGGATTCTTTCCTGCTTTTTGGCTTTTATGAACCCTGCTTCTATGAACATACGTGTACAAGCTTTTGTGTGAACATACAGTTTTCATTTCTCTCTTATGTTTATACCCACAAGGGAATTGCTGGATCAAATGGTAACTTTCCACTGAATCTTTGGAGAAACTATCAAACCACTTTTCTAAGTGGTTACACTACTTTATACTTTGTTAGTAGCCGTATAACTGGCTTCCTATCTGTAGTAATCTCCGAATATTTTCTTTACAACTTTGCTTGAATATATGTAGTAACTTCACATCACATTTTGAATTAGATAAGTTATTCTTGAAACAGCCTCTAAGACTATGCTCCTACTTAATTTCCCTGTTCTGTTGCAAATCTTATTCATTGCTAGAACTTGAGCAGTGGGAAGAATTAACATTCTCTGCTTCTATTGAACTTAGTTCCACAAACATTAAAGGAATGTCAGTCATAAGCCTTACGCCACTTAGGACTGGGGGTCCAAGGGTAAAACAATATAATGTCTGCTCTCAATTCATTCATGGCCTTGTTGGGAAGCCATGTTGTAGTATAATTATTTTTATATACTGTATCTCACAATAACAGTAGACTGAAAGCAGTACAGAGTTTAAACTTAAGAGTTTCTGTTCCTTTCCATACTTTGGTCTCCAGCTCTGGCTATGCTGATAGTTTTCTGAGATGTTATTCATTCTCTAGTATGTATTTATTGAGCACCTACTTTATACTGGGCTGAGTACTGAGCAGTTCTTTTGATTCAAAATGAAGTTAGGATTCGGGGGGAGGGTCATTTTCTTCTCCTTGAACCAATTATTATCTTTTTCCAATTAATCTTTCATTTTATCCCTAACATGCATAACTGTTCGGTACTGTCCTCCTCATTGAGGGTCTCCATATGCTTCTCTGTACACTGTACTCAGACTCCTCTTCCACTCATACTTTTAGTCCTCATTGATTCTGGACTTCATTTTCTCAATTGTTTACTACATGCTGCTAGATGGTGAAATGCTTAACCAAATGTAAACCAATTTTTATTTATTTTGAGAACATGTGTTCTAGAGAACATGAATAGGGAAGGTCAGAGAGAGAGAGGGAAAGAGAGAATTCCAAGTTAAAAGCACTATTAACATAGAGCCTGACAAAAGATTCAGTCACACGAAGCATGAGATCATGACCTGAGCCGAAATCAAGAGTTGGGCACTTAATTGACTGAACCACCCAGGTGCCCCAACCAATTCTATTTTTTTAAATTACGGTTTATTTACTTGGAGGGAACAAAAGAGAAAATGCATGCAAGAGAGAATTCCATACAGGCTCTGTGCTGTCAGTGTGAGCCCGATGCAGGACTCAATCTCAGAAACTGTGAAATCATGATGTGAGTCAAAACCAAAAGTCAAACACTTAACTAACCCAGCCACCCAGGTGCCCCCCTCACCCAAACAAGTCAACGGAGTTTCTAGATGATGTCCGTCATTTTCTCCATTAAAATACTTTCTTAACTGAAATAGTATACTTACCAAGTTGCGTAAGATTTATGACACAATTTTAATGTATTATTCACAAATTTCACCAAAAAGTTTTAGTGGACATTTGAAAGTGAGTACACAGAATATTGGTGTCTTGTGTTACAGTGTGCTGTTTAACTTGGTCCTGGACCGTCTTTAAGAGTCACAACCAGTTTAGTCTTTAGTACATTAAGGTGACTGAACTCACTGTTTTATAAGTATTGTGTCCAGATGGAGAGATGCCTGTTAAATTATACTTAGAAAAATATTCCCCTCTTTGAATTTATTTTGCAAAAGCTTATTGCTTTTTTAAGTTTGGAGTTTCTGAGGTTGATAAACTAAAGTAGAATTAACTTGACTGAACATGGATGGATAATTGGCTTGTGCTTAATACCAGTGCTAAGGAATGAAAAAACTTGGAAAGATACTCAATATTTTAAAATTTAAAATTATGCTATTGCTGTTCTGTCTTTAGTCCATTGATGTTACCATTTCAAGGAGTGGTCAAGTGCTTTATGGTCATACTGCTACTTTTGAATTGGTGATGTGAAACAAATGATTCTATTGCTATTTCTGTTACATGGAGATGTATAAATCAATTTTTAGAATTTTCTTTATAAAATATCTTTTTATAGATGAAGATACATGCGTTTGCTGCTTAGGTCAAGGTAAAACACTAAGTATAAGATAGAAGGGTTTTTTTGTTTGTTTTGTTTTTAGTAGAAGTGATTTCTAAAGAAAATAATGAATGACAAAAATTTAGATTGTGAGGTCTAAAATCACAGAAGCTGTTAACTGGAATCAATATAGCAAATACTTGATTAACTGAAATTCTTAGCAGTTGAATAAAGTATAATTTCCTGCAGATCCTTTTATAAAATAATTCTATGGTATTTTCTTAATAAATACAGATTGGGGAATTGGAGCAGATTTTCAGGGGTCTTTGCTATTTTTAGAATATCATTATGATGTGCCAGTCACTAATTTTTTACCAAAGCTATAGGCTAACAAATTAATTTTTCATTATTTTTAGAAGAGATGGAACAACTTGTTACTTTCATTTTGTTCAGTCCTCTAAAAACATCTGATCTCTGATACCCCCCCTCACCCCCCCTCACCCCCGCATTTGGAGATAGTATGTAACAGACTGTTCCAGTTAGTTTTCTTTTTAACTAGATTATGAATAAGAGACTAGGTATTTCCAGACAATCTAAATGACATAGCTGAGAAACTAAAATGAGAGTCCAGTACCTCTTGAGAGTGTCTGGGGAGTTCTCTTTTCCTAACTGAGCACAATGGCCAAGTTAGAAGGAAGTGTGATGAGGAA